AACAGAGATCTCCTTGATGACACTTCAGAATAAAACAGAATAGATTCACGCATATGGCATAGCAGCCTGTTACACTGTTAGATGTTGGATGTCTCTAATGTCACTCATTACTTGTTTGTTCTGCGTAAGGATTTTGAGAGAGAATAACAGGGTTCGAGCTTGGAGTGTTGTTCCCCATAGTCAGAAGGCCTTGAGCCAGAGTCTGGAATGCAGCAACTGGTAGGTTTTCATTTATTGGCCTGATACAAACATTTATGCCTCACCTGTCTAGAATTGCTGGCAACAAGGTATGATGTTGAAAGTCTCTATTCCTTTTATTTGGGGGGGGGGAGATACTCAGCCTCCAAAATGCTACTTCTAGGTCAAGCAGTAGGAAATAGGAATGCACAATTAGAACACTATAGCTGGTATAACTTTCTGTTATCCACTCATGTTCCACTCAACTTAAAACCTCTCAAAATCCTCTTCAGGTTTTTCTCAGTGTTAAGTAGAGAAATCCACACTGAAGACCCATAGGAAGATGTCATCTCTTTCAATTCTCAGCTGGCCTCTGGCCTTTCATGTCTTTACAGGTGATAATCAGTTTATGCTAACCTTTCTGACATACCATAGGAGGTGCAGAAGTCCTACTCCATCTAACCTCTGTAACCACTCTTGACTTCTGAACTGTAATTTCCTCCGGAGGAACTGTATTCTGGAGACCAGCTGTAATTCTGGGGGAACTCCAAATCCCATCATGAGGTTGGTAACCTTGCCTACCACACAGCATTGTCCCTGACTGTCACAGTCTGTTTTCCTATAGGGGCATAATTATGCAGGGGTGGAGGCAGGGTCTGTGCGTCTCTCTATCTCTGCTGTTTGCAGCATCTCGATTTCTCCATTTCTACTGGTGTGTCAATGGAGGCTGCAAGTTAAGTTAAACATGGGCTGGAAGAAATACACTGGAATGAATAAACTTAGTGCAGGGTTTAGCATTCCTTGCCATTTAAAAACAGGCCCCACCTCATGCCTGCATCAGGATCTTAATGGTGGGAATATATGTGGGGGAAAACCTCAGCACCAGCACCTCAGCACCAAATAGGGTTGCCAAGTCCGTTAGAGACGCTAGTAGAGGTGGGGGGATGTTCTGGGAGCAGGAAGTATAGCTCCTGACATACCGGTGTCACTGGAAGTGATGTCATACACAGTGTCAGCGTCAACCTGGAAGCGATGTAGGCAGGTGACACACTGGTTTTTGGGCAAAACTCTATAGTAAAATCACCCTGAAACCATAAAGTTTTGCCCAGAAACCAGACCGTCACCCCTGGTGTGTCCATGCCACTTCTGGGTGACATAGGCACGTTGCGCGACATTGCTGTTTGGGAGGAATTTCTTCCTGCCATCCCACTGGCTGGCAGCAGGCAGAAATCTAAGAAACCAGGCAATCCCCTGACCCCAACTGGGGAATGGCAACCCTAGCACCAAAGTTGTGTGTGTGCATTCTGCAAGGGAGAATTGTAATGGTCTGTGTGCTTGCTTTCTGTTTGCAGTTTGGTAGGGAGGATCTTTTAGATGAAGACTACAATCCCTGAACCTTTTTCTAAACTTGATAGGAGAAAAAGGTTAGAGGCAGAAATGTGGTGTGTGTTTCATTACTTCTAGAACAGTGAAGCTTTCTCATATGTGCTTGGAACTTGGGAGGGAGAATTCCTTGGGTCTGAGACATACAATCCCTGGGAATTTCGACTCTTCTGAATAGTGGTGTTAACAGAAAAGTGATAGATAGGAAAGTTTCCTGTTGAAACCAATAGAAATGACTATCAGTGTATTTACATAATCAGAATGTCTGCCATCATGATGTTAAAGAGGTCCAATTCAATTATTAAAAAATAGCCCAAGTATGTACCTGAAGTAACATTTCTGCACATACCCCATAGACAATGTGATAAAGTAATAACGAGCACCTAAACTGAGCTACTAATTATGTTGTTTCACCACTGACATAATAGCTTGTTTTGCAATGTTCGTGCAGAGTAATCCTGGGCATTTCATCCAAGTTCTGTAAAACAGTGATTAAGCAAGTTGGCTTTTCCTCCTTGTCTTGACACTAATTTTTTAGCCATCTGAAATTGTAGTAAAATATTCCATAATTAAAAAGATTTCTTGCACAGTTCACTTTTACTGCCATGGCAATACCATAAAGCTTTACAAAAAAACCCCAGTCCCTTACAATTGCATTAAGTACTTCTAAAAATATTGTTGAGATAGCACAGAATTTTTTAAAGAAAACTGTTCTTCTGAAATATATCTTTTTTGTGTCTGAATACTAGTTTGGTTAGTGATTGTTTGAATTAGGCATTTAAACATACATATAAGTTGAGACGCCATACAAGTATACTACTCTTAATTTATATGGCTGGCTGCTGAAAATACTGTAAACTGAACTACAGTAAACTGGTCAGTGTTTTGCCATCTATAGTATGAACAGTGCAGGATGTCAATGAGTAATTTAAAGTGTGGAATATAGAAAATTATGCCAAAATGGCATGGAATTGAGCTAGCCTGAATTCTGTTGTACAGATGTTGGGGACTGATAATTTTGGGCACCTTTTCCCATCTACATCTCATTTGGTTACTATGTGAGATTGCTTATGTGCTGAAAGATTGTTTCTCTTCCCATTGCTCTTTCCATATTTATGTTGTTGATGTGGCTGTATAGGTAGTGATTTAACAAAATATCCTGTCTTCTAGGTGTGGGAAAGAGCTGATTGTATTGTAATACCAGATCATTGCTTAATTCATACACAACATAGCTTAACACATGGAAAGTATTATTAATCTACTTACCATGTGGCTGGTCTGATAATAACATTGTATTACATTCCCAGGTAAAGCAATTTAAGCAGTTCCTTTGCCATGTGTGGGCCTCGGAAATTAACTTGTCATATGATTAGTAATAGACTAACTTCATTGTTATGCTCAGATTAGTAGTTTAGCAGAATTCTTAGAGTAGTGGCTACATATACTCTGCTTCACATGTAGAATTACACACACGGGTGGTGCAGCAGATCACAGTTCTTAATTAGTTTAAGCTGAATTAATTCATTTCATTCTAATTTAGCTGTGTTTGCCTGTGAATATATTCAGTTCAGTTGGGGAAATGTTAAGACTTGGGTCAAGCAGAAGATTGTTTAAAGCCAAATTGCCAGACAGAACTGAGCAAGTATATCTGTTTGAAAAAAGGCTTTAAGAGAATCAATATGCAAAAATCTTGCTCCTATAGCAAGTGAGGTCTGCCTGGATCAAATTGTTCCTTGGTATAAGATCTGCGTATTGTGGTACATTTAAAGCAGCTAGTTTGCTGTTTTTGTGTGGGCCTTCAAGGTTATGAAGGATTATGAGTTGAACTTTGTGGCTTCACCGCTTAGTAGTTTTAATCAGATTACTAGGCGGAGTGGTAGAGGGTCATACATAAGGAGCAAACCTGAATATGACTGTAATAAGTTCCTTTCTACAGCAGTCATGTTACAGGGATTGGTCAAATTGCCACCATAAACTTTTTTTAAAAAATATTTTTTTTATTTTAACACAACAAAGTTACAAATAAACTTATTTTTTGACAATATAGTCACTCAGCATAGTAATAACGGAGACTATAACAAACATGAAATAGAGCTACATATGGTGAAAAACATCGAAGTACTTCTTAGGAACTACAAAGTTAGTAAATTCAGAATTAAACATATGTTCTAGGAAAGGTAACCATTTCAAATGAAAATTAGGTTTTTGACCTGTGGAATTGGAATTAACTACTACTTCTGATATTTTATCCATAGCATAATATTCCCAATTTTTTAATCACCATGAGGACAATAACAATCTATTTGAGGATTTCCAACTGTTGGCTATAACAATCATAATCTTTTAATCACAGGGGGTTTTTTTGACTGACACATTAGCAAGAGGCCACAGATAAATGACGTATAAATTTGTCACATGCATACCATGGTAGTACTTGGTATACAATAGTCTGTATCTATCCATACTTAGTTGTCTGACCATAAGTTAAATAGAAACCGTCTTGCCTTTTTTCCATGCTGCACAAAACATATGCATACTTATTTTCAAAACAGAGTTAAGCCCTTCTGTGTGCACAGAATGCCTTGCACACGCATTTAGATTTGACTGCCAGGAGAAAGAAAAACTTGTGTAGTTGACAACCCTTTGCTGGGTGAGAGCTGTATATAAGAACTCTTAAACTCCTCTCGAGTTGCCCAGAAAAGGCACTGGATTACAGATTCAGTAAAGCCTCTGTCTCTTCTAGAAACATACATTTAAAGTAGCAGTAGACAGTGGTAACTGACAACTAAGACTAAAAATGTTGACAATTTCTTGATTTGCCTGGTTAGCTTATGTATAGAAGTCATTAACTATTTATAAAATGCATTATGAATTGGCTTCCTTCAAACTGTAGCAATATGTGTGACATTTTCCAGCACAAACTATCATACTTGCATTTGGCTGCTGTACAAATTTATATCCATTACAAAATGATGAAGTTAAGATCATAAAGTATCTTTATAACTGTTACACTAAATTACCTTTCCTTGCTTTCACTAATGATGATCAGCTTCATTTAGAGAGCTAGTAAGATTATTGTGTGGTTATTATTTTAAAGACAAAGGAGAGTGCTGTATTGATATTTTTGATAAATTCTAAGAGAACAAATGGGCACTTTAGTTCAAAAGCTTAGTCTTTTATGTGATCAATTCATTTTGGGATGAAATTGTGATCAAAAGTACTATCAAATTATTTATTGATGACTATGGTAGAGTTGGCCTTAATTGTAGTCAAAGGGGCTAGTTAGTCTGTTGAGCTTCTTTTTTAAGAGTTGAGTGAGATCATGGTAATAAAGGACCATGGGAATGAATGTTAGCTGTGCTTTTGATGATGTACAAAATTTATATTATACTGAACTAAATCTATAGCAAAAGATAAATAAAAAATATAAATCAGTCACAATGAAGTGTGTAATACTCTTTGCAAAGAGAAAAGATTATTGTTCAGATGGGTGCTTCATTGTAGACCTAGCTTTAGGTTCTAGGGATAAGTTTCACTGGATTCTGTTACTTCATGGAACCAGAAAAGGTATTTCAGATCTAGGGATCTACTAGGATTGTCAGCTACAGGTTGGGAAATTCCTGGAGATTTGGTGGTGGGGTTTGGGGAGGGGAAGGGTCTCCTTGGGTATAATGCCATAGAATGCCTTCCAAAGCAGCCATTTCCTCCAGGGGAACTGAACTCTGTTGTGTGGAGATCAGTTCTAATTCCAGGAGATCCCAGGGCACCACCTGGAGGTTGGCAACCCTAGAATCCATAGATTTGGACTCTGGTAACCACAACTCATTTTTTGTTACTGCTGTGTCTTCTAATATACACAGAGAGCTTGAGGGAAAGGTGGTAACTCTCTTTTCACTTTGTGCAAGACTTGAAAGGAACAAGCAGAATGAGTCTTGTATGCTTCTACCTTTTCCATAATCCAGAGCAGTCAGTGCAGTCCTTCCCTGCAGACTCAGAGTAGGGCAAGTCTTTCATCAAGAAATTGTCAACATCCTGTTTGGTCTTTCATGTTTATGGCAGTAAAAGACACCTTCCCTTTATCTTCTGATAATTTAGGAGGATTAGAGATTTTTGTCCTGGGCATCTGGAGATGGATTACTGCCACTGGCAACTGGGTTTGTGAACCAGTCAAACTACTAAGCTTGTACAAGTGTACATAATTTACCCATTCACAGGCCTGGAAAAAAATAGTTTTGTAGGGACAAGAGTTGCAATTCTTATTTCTTCTAACCAGCCAGCTGACATTGCTTTAAAGTCTGGCTACTTATTTCAGTCTTCGCATCAAAAGTAACCACACAAATATCAGGCTTTCACTGTTAAGATGTCTGAACATTCTTCAGAAGTATAATGAAAAGTCTGGTAGAGCTTGTAGTGGAACAAGAACCACTGTACAAGTTTGGTCATCTCCCCCCCCCCCCTTTTTCCCTTTCAGATTTTGTGGATAAATAGCCACAAGTGGAGAGGTAAGTAGATAAGTGGCTCCTGCTGTCCTGTCTGTTTGTCTTTAATCTTTGCCAGCTTCTTCTGACAGATTCTAGTTGAGCTTCAGAATCCCTATTAGGCAGAGCCTGGCTAACACAGCAGCACCAAAGGCCCTCCCCAGAGGTATGGATGCTTGAGCTGCAGGACTGAAGCAGGCCTGTCTGGATGACTGAGTAGTGCTGGTGCGTACTTCAGAGAGTGCACATACAGCTAGAACATCAAACATATATGGCTTAAACAGTTGTGTAGCAGTGGGCAATGCATTTTATTCTGGTCACAATGGTTGCCCATATTTTAGAGTACAGACTCCATGAGCAGGAGGAACTATTTGACCATGCATGGTAAACTCCTAGACTGTGATTATAGTGACAAATAGAACAAAAAGATTGAATCATGTGTTGACATACGTTTGTAACTTCCTTCCTTGTCTGATGTATATCAAACACAAAATAGGATATCGTAATTGAGCAATCTATGCCAATTTGTTGGCTTTTTGGTGAAAAAAGCGAAAAACAAAACCCATCTCCATATGAAATTCTTGCATACTGCAGAGTGTTTTAGTCCCCCATAGTGATGAAATGAATAATTTAAACAGGCAGCTCTGATACTAGAGCCTCTTTAAAGGTTCCCATTTCCTTTAATGCTGTACAGACTACTTTTACTTGGTTAATGTGAAACTGCTGTGTCTGAGATATCCAAATAGTGGGGAAAAAAGACTGGATACACGGTGTCCATTATACAAGTTCTCTGTGCTTTGTATCACTGTAGCTGCACATTATCTATTGAGTAGCTGTATCACTTTAATAGCCATGGATGGCACAAACAATCACTGGGACTTTAAAAATAAGTCGAAAGGAGCTGGAAGCTTCTTGGGTGATCGAAGTGAGGTCTTTGCTGGCTCATTTGCCATTCTATTTGTAATTGTGTCAGTAAATTTACAGTGTGATGGCTCCACTGAACATTGTGAAAGCAGAATAAAAAAGGTACTGTATATCTGTTCGGGGCACAAATCTACATTTCAGGTTATAATTTCAACCTGCATCCGTTTTCCAAAAAAAGAGAGCAAAATACAAAATACAATCCTGTACAGTATTTCTCTTGAAGGCTGAGGTATCAGAATGAAAGTTTCTATGCATCTTCAGGACTAATTTATGTATTTCGTATTGGGGAACTGCATAGAGCCAGGGGGGAGGTATAAATGATTGGGAAATGTCCCTTTTACTTGAATTTTCCCCTCCTGTATGGTGCAAACTGTTAGGGACTTGATCAGTCCAATTTCCTTCAGCTGACGGTCAACTGTTCCCAAAATTCCATGGCTCTTGAAGGACAAGGAGCATGCTTTGGGGAGTGTATGTTTAATTTGCAAACTAATTCTCCCCCCTGCATGTCTGGGGAATTTCCTTTTCTATGGGGTGATGGTGCTGATACAGTGCTCTACTGATGGGCAGTGGAACATCAAATTTGTTATTAGAGGGAATGATGATGTGCACACCTGGACTTTAATGCAGATCCATTTTCAAGAAGGCCAGGAGCAAGCAGGCACTCTCAACTTTGCTTAACTAGCATAATTTAGATTAAGTATAGCTTCTTTTCCAGTGCTGTTCTCTGTTCAAGTCTTTATTAGAGCACCTAAGTATTAGATTTCTGAAATATGGTTACTGGATCCTGGAAGAAAAAAAATCAGATGACATCTGCCCTTGTAGAAGCCAGCTAGGTGTCCTGCATTGGTGAGCTCAGTTTTATTGAAGACCCCCTAGTTGCCTTATTTTTCATGGGAAGAAGACAAAATACATCAGATGCAATAAGAATTGCCATATAAAATGCTGTATGATCTGATCCATATTATAACCCCAATGCTCAAGAAAGATTCTGGCTGCAGATGAGGAAAAGGTAGTGTGTCACCTCTCCCCTGAGCTGCAACTCAGTGAGCTCTTGCAATCCAGTTCAGAAAATCCCTTTGTCTCTCCCCCACCCCAAATCTTGTCACTGTGTATCATTTGCCCTTGCTATGTTTTTTTTTTGGGAGGGGAAGAGTGGGTTTCAGTGTGTGGTTTCAGTTAACAGCTGTGTCACTGGATCTTTTCAGACATAGCAGTGTAGAATTAAAAAACTCTGTGGCTGATGTGCTTTGTTAAAAGTTTTCTTTCTATTTTAAGGAAGAAGGGAAA